AACGTAAAACGGGGGGGGGGTCTTTACTGCTATTATTATTACCATTAGCAGCAAAGACCCTAAATAGTCTCTTTTTTTTCTTTTAGTGTGCTTAGCACTTCAATTTCAAAATTCAAACAAATACAGTACTTACCAAATTGTATGCTCATTAAACTAAATACCAATAAAATTTCAATTTGTTTCAAGAAAAACAACTTAAAAGCAAATAAAATAAAAAACTGGAAACACCTATGGAAACACAAAATAACGTTAACCTTTAAATTTCCACTGTGAAGGACAGCTTCCAACTCTTACTCTCAGCCTAACCTAACACACCTAATTAGACTAAACTACAATCTCTACATACACCGAAAGAGGTCAGCATATTCCCGAATCACATTTTTATATTTGTTTTGCCTATAAATACTTAAGCCTTAAATTAAAAGTATAGGTGCCTAACTTATTAAAAAATGATACAACAATAAACATTAAGTGGTAAATCCTGTATGAGGTAAATTGGGACCCACAAATTATATAAGCGTAAAAAGTATGTGTAATTTCAATATCTAAGTAAGATTTTTGCTGTTGTCAAAGTGTGTTACATTTAGTGTAACAAAGTGAAATTCAAAAGTAAGATATTTTTCATAGGGTTAATGCCTTCCCATCTTCAAAGCTTGAGAAGTATAATTAATACAATATATTTGTATGAAACATGGCAATGTTGCATGTAAATTCCACAATCAATACATCTATTTGTTTTACATATTAATTAACTTATTATTATTTTTTCTAATCTCAAAAGTTTCGCTGCATTTCAATTACGCATTTGAAACTATATATTGCTTCAGTTTGGTTGTTTCTTGCACAACGGTCTATCCGTGCTGTGTCCACCACGAATATGAAACCTGGTTTTTAGCGTTATAAGCTTTATGACTTATCGCTGGTAAGTTACGGACTTACAACGCTAAAATCCAGAGTTATATTCCTAGTAGTGGACATAGTAGAAAGATCAATGTGGCTTTGCTCTAAAATAACAAACTTACTGCTGAGCTACTGGTTTCTTTCATCGAATTTTTTAGCTATTTTCATACGTTTAAACCACTTTACACTTGTTTAATTATACACAGTGGGATAAACTCGCGCCTTTTGTCTTATCTAAAATTAATTGATTACTGAAACATTTTTTAGGAATTAAAAAAATATATAGACAAGATTGAATCCTCGACCTCCCGCATAGGAAGCGTGTGCTATACCATATGAGCCAAAGCCCAAATAATTTTTTTCACATAGACAACATTAATAAGTGGAATACTATACATATGAGAAGGGTATATATATATATATATATTTTACCTCGATAAATCCTTAAAATAATGCCGTTGTTGTATTATGGTGGTTGGATATGAATGAAACAAAAACCTGTTAAACAGAATATGCAGTTCTTGTATTTAGATTTAAAGTGAAGAAGTGTAAAAACATTTAATGACTATAAACAAATATATCTCTGTATATAACATTATTTGTATAAACATCTTGTCTTTGTGGATAATCGCCATTTTTGACAAAGATCTTTGGATTTTTTCTTGATCAAAATCTTGAAAAAGCGACGTTATAAAACAGTTTTAAAATACTTAAATTACAGTAGCCAGAAGTGTAAAAATAAATTGTTTTTGTTTTTCGTTATTTCACTTATTTTTACTTTTTCTTCCATAATGATATTGACTCTTTTTCCCCCTCACCCCTAAAATATTAACAAAGCATCTGATCCGCTACTACCAATAACTAAAATGTTGTGAAATATTTGATTTCCCCAGCGGTTAAACTCGCTCTTTGCGCACGAAGAGTATTTAAACTTTAGGCCTAATTGCCAATTTTTAGGCGGCTGTATTGAGACAGTTAGAAACGTATAACAGATTAGTAATAAAATAGTGAATGCTTAAAACCATGGTATCGAGAAGTGTGCAAGTCAACTGTCGTCATCTGTTTTTTTGTTTTGTAAATTTTTTGTGTCTAAATCGCATTTGTGTAAAACCTATAATTATTTTTCTTTCGCGCAATGTGTTAGCTGAAGACCATTGAAAATAAATGAAGTTGTGGCAGTGACTGTTAATTCCCCATGGATTATATAGCGGGTAAAATCATGCATCGTGTACAAATCGTATTTAAAATATTAGGCCTAATTGTCGATTTTTAGGCACCTGTTGGAATTATTATTGAAATGTAATGATATTTCGTTTTTAATGAGCTAGGACGAGGAAAAGATTTAACTTTATGTGTTTCCTTGCGTGTTCATGTTACTGAAGCAATTGCTTTTTAAAGTTAATGTTATAAACGTCGTATTGTTACACTTGTATAGAAGAATGCACGTTAGATGTTCACTTTTGCACTCGTATAAACGTAAAAATACCATTGTACAATAAGCCAATAGGAATATTGGGTTTCCATGTGAGCCAGCACTCATACATGCACAGACTGATTGACACACATTGTTCTTTCAATTTCATAGTTTTGGAAAGAGAGGGATATAACCATAACTTAATTATCTGGAGTTACACTTCCAATAATGTTCCTATGACCCAAAGGAAATTTGGTGCTCTTTTTTTTTTTGGCAGTAATTTTGATTACATATTCTTCCATTATCACTTTGTTTGTTTTACCTCTTATCCTGTCTATTTTGTAATTTGCTGGTCAAATGTAGGTTTTCAATATACATAAGCACTGTGATGTGGTATTTTCAACCTGTAGGACATTTTATACAACTCATGGGTTAGGCAGTCAGTGAGAAAACTCAAAGTTCAGATATATACACCCCTAGTTATTATTTATTAGCCAGAGAGATAACAATTAGCCAGCAGCAACTACTTACTATGGGCTACTCTTTAATTGAATAATGAGTTGAACTTCACAGTTACAATGTCTCAACAACTGCATGTCAAGGTATATAATGAACATTGGATCACTTGATATACAGCCCAATTAAGGTTTGTTTTACAGTAATAATATAACTAGGTGATAGAAATTTAACATGATATTGAGCATACTTTTATATTTAATATTATCATAATAAGTTCACATTTGCAGTATAATACATTTTTTCTCACTACAAACCAATATTTGATCAAATAAATTGATGTGATTAAAGTTATTCTGATGCCCATGGTATTAACATGTCAATTGTCAGAGGAGATTTATCACTGAACTCTAAAATTACCTATTTGTTTTTAAACTTTTCACTTTTGGTGGTGGCCACATATTGTATCACATTAAGTAATTTTACATTTTTGCCTGTTACAACACCTAAAGAACTGACAAATAACTTGAGTGAAATTACTCTTTTTTTTTAATAAAAAACAAAACAATGAGGGCCTCACCAAGGATTAATTGCAGTACTGATGGTGTTTTGAGTTAAACAGTTTTTGTCTGACTCATATCTTATTAGGGTTTACCTATTGCCCACTGTATATCAATCTCCTTTCTGAAACCCTTGTTTTTGGACAATGCTCAGCATGGTTAAAAACTTTGATTTTTTTTACAAAATAAATTTATCATCTATAATAATAATGTAGTTTAAATTTTTTCCCTATGAAACATACTAAGAATTTCCTTTATTAAAAAAAAAACGTTTCAGCTGTTTTCCTTTCATCCATAATATTCATGGGATTTTAAATTAACTCTATCTTTAGAGTTCATAAAAACTCTTATTATGTGTTTTGAACTACAATAATTTCCTGATCTCTCCTAGTTTTAAGAATGTTTTTACCTTTATTTCATTTTAAAAACCTCAATCTCTTCCATCTTATGGTGTGTTTCATATTTTTAAAAGCTTTGATAATGAATAATATCTTATAATTTCCTGGTATTCATTTAGAATATTGAAGTAGAACAACAGTATGTTAGCGTAGGTTACACACTTTATTAGTCTAAACAAATACATGTATGATACACACAAGAATTAAAGTAACAAAAGGCAATCCACAAGTACAAGTGTTACACGTTCTTTACTAAATTACATTTGATGATCTTAATTTGATTCAGAATGCTACATCATTTATAATTCACAATATATATACAAACATAAGACAAATTTTCAGACAACATATTTTAACTTTTCATGTACATGCTCTTTATATGAGTATGCTTTAGCAGCAGTTAATGAGAGTTACCCATTTTTCTAACCCGTTGATTTTCATACTTGTTTAATACTTTAGTATGTTCCTCTATAATCATTAACCATCCACACGTTAAACTGTCTCACTTTGACTCCTAACAACACATCACGTTTCACACATTAGGTGATTTTTCAACATATTTTGAGCACCATGTTGAATTTCAAGTTTCTAATGAACAACTCTTAAATTAAAATATACTGAACATTATAAGTAATTTTATCTAAAAATCAATTCTATGATCATTAATTTTTCTAATGTGTTAAACTAGAGAATTTGGCAAAGTCATCTTCAGATGCACAAGTTGCTTTTCAAGTTTAAGTTATTGATTTCTTAAAGATAATCCTGAACACCAGATCTAAGATACCCATCTGGCATTTTGTTTAAATGAGATTGACATTTTACTAACTTTACATGTATGAGGACAGCAAAATCTGGATTTCCATACCATTCTACTTATATAAATAGGTATGAAATACACTTTTTGCAGTTATGTAAATTCATGATGTTCTGGAACAGAAAACTACATTACCAGGAACAAATTATTCATTAAATATGAGCACCAAATGCTAATTGTTTTTCTAGTCTACTGAAAGCTACAATTTATTTCCAGCTAATGCTAGGTGCTGTATCTAAATACTTCCTAACCACACCAAACATTGCTATGAGAAACGTCAGAAAAACGAGTATTTTCACCATTTATTTTTAATGTGAGAAATATATGAAATTCCACTTACACTCGAAAACTATACATTGCACAAGGTTTTAAGAATGGAATGTGATATCTTACACAAATGTACATGTATCAAATATTTATGAATTACTCAACTTTCAAATGCTATATAAATATTATTATCTGTACCTTCCTCCCAAAGTTAACATGCACACTACTCAATAAAATAGTTCTGTCACAGTTTTATGTTAATCACAAAACTCGGTGTCTAAGTTTATCACCCACTTTACACAAGTCTTCACAGTGTTGTCTATACTATTAGTTATTTACACATGGTATATTATCTTAACCTCAGAACTCGGTGACTGACCATCTTTAAATATGGTTTATTACCTACTTTACACAAGTCTTCACAGTGTTATCTATACTATTAGTTATTTACAGTAAGTGATTTGTAGTAAAAGTAGTTTCAATATTTTACCATGAAACATAATGTCTAGCAGTAGTTTTCAATATTTTACCATAAAACAAAATGACTAGCAGTAGTTTTTAATATTTTACCATAAAACATAATGTTTAGCAGTAGTTTTTAATATTTTACCATAAAACATAATGTCTAGCAGTAGTTTCAATATTTTATCATAAAACATAATGTCTAACAGTAGTTTTCAATATTTTACCATAAAACAATGTCCAGCAGTAGTTTCAATATTTTACCATAAAACATAATGTCTAGCAGTAGTTTTCAATATTTTACCATGAAACATAATGTGTAACAGTAGTTTTCAATATTTTACCATGAAACATAATGTGTAACAGTAGTTTTCAATATTTTACCATGAAACATAATGTGTAACAGTAGTTTTCA